TATATATATATTGTATATACAATAAGCAATGAATTAGAGATAGAATTTTTAATCAATTAATTAGTTATTAATTATATCTTTTATTTGAGAGAAACGATTTGTGATTGTTATGTTATTGTTGTGTTTATACCGGTATTATAATATTATATACTAACAAGGTGTCAATTTTATTAGAAAAAAAGAGAAATCTAGAAAAACATGATTATAAATTAATAAATTATTCAATAGATTAAAGCTTATTATATTCTATCTCTTCAGCATCAATATAATAATTATGATAGATAATAATTTTATACATATACCAGAATTATTTGTGTTGAAGATAATTCCGCTGTCATGTTGTAAGTTGTTAGCTGTGACTTGTGCAATATAAGACGCATATGGGTGCAGATTTGAAAATGAGATTGTTGTATTTGTCGTGTGTTTTATAATAATATGATTATCTGACGTAGTTAAATTTAAATCTTTACAGCCGCGATATTCTTTAACCTGAAAATAATAGAAAACGTTTGCCAAAGTTTATTAAAAATTGATATTATAACTAAAGATTTTAAAATTAAATTAATATTATTGTGGAAAAGAAAAAAAACCATGCTTTAATATTTTTGATTTTATGAAATTCTAATAGTCATAAAAATGTTCTATTTAATAATTTTAATTGAATAATTTTAAAAAAAGAATTTTTTATTAGCGCTTTGTTTTGTTTATAGTATATATAAATAATTTAGGCGTTTATAAGCATTACATACATGTATGCATATATATAAATATTTGTTTACCTTTAAGAGTACTCGATATTGCACTATTTCCTCATTTGATTGATTTGAGGGTTTCCAGAACAAGATGACTGTATTAGATGAGAACATTTTTTGAAGATTTAACACTGTAAATGGAATTGTCAAGATTTGAAAAATATAAAAGTTTTCTTTTTAAGATATATTGAAACTCACCATTCTTGTATGTACGAATTTCTTGAGAAAATAGTTGGTGATCTTTATAAAATATAAATACATTGAAAGAGGTATACAATGGTAAATGTGACAATTTATGAGGAAAGTGTATAATTGATTGATTAATGACTTGCTCATTTGTATCTATATCTTGGACTACTAACTGATACCAATTCGCCGGACATAAATATGATTGCTGTCATAAAAAAAAACAGAAAAAAGTTACATTTTTCTTAAAATATTTTCCAGTTGAATGTCTGGATGTGAAAAACGGATAACAAAATATATACGTACGCTTGCATTTTTTTGCCAATCAATTATTATACTAGGTTTTTCGAAGTATATATCGAAGCTTTCAGCCACTAAGCCACATGGAGAGAAATATTATAGAAATTATTGTACAATGCAAATAAAAGTAGATAAAAAATAAAAAATTATTTCTGTTATAATTTAAAAAAATATAATAAAAATATAAAAAATTAATTAATTAATTTTATATATTTTAAAATAAATAAATTATATATTTTAAATATAGTTATCTTACAATTGCAATCAGTCCGAACATTTATCCAATCACTATGCAGTTTATATCCTGGAGCTTTTAAATTGCAACGAATTTCATAAGCCGTATTGGGTTTTAAGTTTCCAAACTGTCGTATCAAATGTGTGGTATTTTGAAATATTCTTTCCCATGATTGTTGAACGTCATAAGATACTTGTTTCTGTGAAAAATATATTTATCGAAGTTATATTCTTTTCTTTTTTTTATATTTTTTAAATGTTAATGGATATTACTTTTCAAATATTTGCATTGACTGCTATTTTTATTGAATTAAATCATTACTTTGATAGAGAAATAATAAAAAATTATAATATAATAAATATTATTTACATTAATTTCGAAAGAATAAAAAATCGGTATGTATCGATATTTATCATTGTAATCCCATGTTACAGAAACAGTGACATCAATACTGGTGTTGCTTACAGAAGTAACTGTAGGTATATTCGGTTTTTTTATGGCTGGAAAAATATTAATATATATTCTGCATTCATATCTAATACCTATATATATATGTTTGATATGTACAATATAAAAGTAGCATGTTTTGTATATCACGTAAATTGTACTTATTTTAACACAAAAGTAATGAAATTAATTTCTATTTTTGTCTTCGTCATTACAAACACACATTCAAGTTACATTATTACATAAATTTTGTGCATACATTAATTTTCTGTTAAATCATGAACCATATATTTTTTTGACGATATATTTTCGCAGTCATGGTCATATATGTTTAATTCACAAAGCAAAACTAATTTATTAAATATGGCTGAGCGTTTGCTTAGATAAGACAAAAAATAATTTGATGATATTGCAATTCACTTACGCAGAGAACACGAATATCCCACAAAACCAAATGGACATGTGCAACCATTGTTATTATTACAAACTGTAACATTTTCACATTCAGTATTGCTTTGTAAATCATGTTCGCAAGAAATCAAACATTGCGGTCCAATTTTTCCTTGAGGACAATCTGAATGTTCTGTAAGAAGACATAATCTTCTGTATTACAAAATAATCTTCCTAATGCTTTGTTTTCTCTAAATGCTTAGAAAAAAGTAATATTATCAAATTTTACTCATAGAATATAAATGATAATTTTTAATAAGTTTATACCTATCTCAGGATTAAAAAAAGTACTCATGATAGTAGATCCATCGTAAAATAATTTTTGACATGTCATACTCATTGTCAGCAAAAGTTGTCCTTCAAGTTTTCTTTCCCATTCTTTTAATTTTATATATAATGCAATTGATTTTGAAGTACCTAAGAAAGGTAATTAAGTTACATGTAAGGAAAATTAATGTGCTTAAAAGTTTTTAGAATTGTTTTGAAAACATGCATATCAAATTGGCGTTATCAATATTTTGGCATGTGTAAACAGATTTTGTAGATATAATAAAATTAAAACATATAACACACATAAACCTAACACATACCATTTCTAGGACATTGACGAACATTCGCTATCGCCCATAATGGACTGCAGGTAGGCTGAGCGTTTGCTTAGATAAGACAAAAAATAATTTGATGATATTGCAATTCACTTACGCAGAGAACACGAATATCCCACAAAACCAAATGGACATGTGCAACCATTGTTATTATTACAAACTGTAACATTTTCACATTCAGTATTGCTTTGTAAATCATGTTCGCAAGAAATCAAACATTGCGGTCCAATTTTTCCTTGAGGACAATCTGAATGTTCTGTAAGAAGACATAATCTTCTGTATTACAAAATAATCTTCCTAATGCTTTGTTTTCTCTAAATGCTTAGAAAAAAGTAATATTATCAAATTTTACTCATAGAATATAAATGATAATTTTTAATAAGTTTATACCTATCTCAGGATTAAAAAAAGTACTCATGATAGTAGATCCATCGTAAAATAATTTTTGACATGTCATACTCATTGTCAGCAAAAGTTGTCCTTCAAGTTTTCTTTCCCATTCTTTTAATTTTATATATAATGCAATTGATTTTGAAGTACCTAAGAAAGGTAATTAAGTTACATGTAAGGAAAATTAATGCGCTTAAAAGTTTTTAGAATTGTTTTGAAAACATGCATATCAAATTGGCGTTATCAATATTTTGGCATGTGTAAACAGATTTTGTAGATATAATAAAATTAAAACATATAACACACATAAACCTAACACATACCATTTCTAGGACATTGACGAACATTCGCTATCGCCCATAATGGACTGCAGGTAGGCATGTTGAGTATAGGAACAAGTTGGATTATCACATTATTATAACTGGTTGTAAGATTTTTCTTGATTTGAACATATTGCCACATAGGCAAGCCATGTTTTGCCGTTTTTGATGAACCTGTTGCGATTATTGTTTCCAATATTTCATAGTTTGCAGAATCAAGTAACCTTATATGTGCATCGCATTCTGCGCAGAGACCAAGTAATATGTCTACACATATCGTTTCATTATCAAATTCGACAATAGGACTCGTTAAAATAGCATTTTCAAGAGTTGTATGCAGAAAATCATCTGAAACATGTAATCATAAAATAACAATTTTGTCTAATTATTGCTTTACTTTAATTAATTTTTATTAATGATATATTTTGAATTTGTATTTACATATATGAAATCGGAATAATGGTTCCGGAATATGCTCCAATCGGAATATTGGTACCGAAATTGGCACCAAGAATCTCTCCATATTGTGTTTGTATACGAAGATATTATATTTAGAGACTAAATGTTCTGGCTTTTCCGTGTCTTCGTATGTTACAACAGTGTCATCAACGGAATTATAAATAGACATTTTTCGAGTTATAGAGTTCCAACTAATAATGAACGTTTTCCACATAGTATTACTCCACATGTTAAATCCTATGTCCTATATTAATTATATATTTATTTTTTAAATCAAGATGTCTGTGTTTTATTTTTGCAAATTTAAATTATTTTTAATGTATAATCTTAATTTTTTTAATTATATAAATAAAAAAATGATACATATAATATTTTAAATATATATAACAGTATATTACTTCAAAGCCTTGTAACGGTGAGCTGGTGCACTTTAAATCTTCGGGTACAGACACTTGAGTATCGCATTTGTCTATCATAAACATCTCTCGCTGTTTAAGAAGGTAACAATAATCTCTGTTATAATCTGTACCATAACAAAACAATATCTCCCAATCTATAAATGTAAAAATTGAAACCGAGAATGTGATTGTTGTCGTAGTGTTGTTGAGTATCATGGCACTGACATCTATGCGATCATACGTATCCAAGTGCTTAGTCACATATTCTTTAAATCCTGAAAAATTAAGTACTTGTTACTTGAAGCAATATTAACGTTATATTTATTCAAATTGTAGCATGTTTTAAATATTGCAATCCTATTTTAATTTTTGAAGTATTTACCTTTCCATCGTTCATCAAATACCGGACCCATAGGCGTTTGAAGAGAGTTTGTGAAACTCCAGTTTTCTTTACTCCACGACTTCAAGCACTTTTCATCTGCGTTCATCTTGCAATCTATCTTGCTATTATTATATCCATTCAAACTGTAAATCGCTGAAATAATGAAAAAATAGTATAATAAAGATGAATGCTTTATGAAAGAATGTTTATTTCTCTTATTATAACTTACGCTCGTCTATTTCGTAATCTATATTGGATCTCCATCTGGAATTCTTTAACCATATAAGGGTGCCATCGTCCTCCGAAAGACATATAAATTTTTTATAACGAGTAGCATTTGATGGTCCACTCAATATGAACATATTTCCAAAAATATGCGACACTTGGTTCATAAAGAGAAAAAATATTAATGTATTCAGCATCGTTCTTCTCATTATTGATTAATGCGTATGTGATGTTCGTAAATCTAATAATCATCAGAAAGAGAATAGACAAATTAATATAGCAGAATAAATATTTTAATTTGTTGCTTTGTTTTATATAACTCTGTATTATATTTGTGTGGCCTTCTGCCAGGATACTGTGTAAAACACGCAATCCTGCGTATCGATTATATCTGAACAGAACGCGCATGAACAAATCAAAATCCTTTCTTTGAAAAAGATAGCTGCGGCATTCTCTTCATTTATGAGATCCTTTTCAATCTGTTACTTACAAGGAAAAGGTCGGAAATGTTCTGTGTTTTAAAATGTATTTTATAATGATGCATTCAGATTTTT